TATATATATATATATATATATATACATACATATACACACATACACAGACCTGAGGCATCCCGGATTCCCATCTCTTCATCTGTCCCTTACCTCTTCCAGCAGGGCTGCAGTAATGAAGCAGGGAGCCTGGTTGGTCATGTGACCGCCCGCCCAGCTCCCTGATTGGATAGGAAGCCGCAGCCACGCTCCTTTGCAGCTTTCCAGGCAACAAGGACTGCGGCTGCTTTGTGAGGAATGTAAGTGGCAAGTGCTGATGCGCTCTGTATCGCTGAGCTGGTCACAGAGAGATCTTTGTAATCTCCCTACTGGCTCAGTCACTAAAACACAGCACCCGCTGATTCGTTTTCGGGGTTGCACTTGAGGCATCATAGGCGTGCAGACCGGATGTGCTCAAGCACACCCTGTCTGCATGCCTATGAGGCCTTATCACCTATTGCTTGAATATGGAGTTCTTCCAAATACATAAAATGCATACAATAAATACATGTACAAAATATTAAAATCATTTTTCAAATGCTTTTATTTTTTTAAGAACATATATCTTAATTTGCAAATGTATAAAGTTTTCAATGTAAGCAATGAAAATACAAAAGTCTCATCATCTTAGTGTTTGCATGTATATTGTATATAAACTTAATCTGAGTTGAGAGAGAGGCACACTCCTTGTAACACCCAATGTGACATATGTTTTGCAGTATACAGGTCAGCCTCACATACCAAACCTACTCCCATTGCGTTCCTCCTCATGGAAGTAGTGTACACTGGTGTCCGCAATGTGTTCTGTAAAACACAAAACAACTGTGAGAATAATCTGTACTGATATATTATTAAAAAAAAGGAACAGCAAAATGTGCCAAGGTACAAAGTGGGGGAGAAAAGTGTACTTTGACGCTCCCTACCTGTAATTTAAGGCGATGAGATTCGACTGGAATAACCTTCAAGACAGGCAGCTCCACAACAAGTACTTTGGGTTTACTTTTAACCAAACATGATTTCTCTATGTCCCAGTCAGCTCCCTCGAGGTATAAGCCCGATATGAAGCATCCTGTACAATTATTGGAAGGGTGTCAGTTACACATTTTCTGCATTGATTGTTTTTACATAATAGAAAAACATTTATTGCATGCACTTTTCTAGCACCAGAACATAAAGGATCAAATATTATTATTATACAGGATTTATATAGCGCCAACAGTATGAAATGCAGACAATGCTCCGATGATGGACTGTTCACATTGGTGTTTGTACCACATTAGCTTTATGCCGGTAAGCAGAGCAGATGTTATAAAATAAAACCTCAACATTCATATCTAGCAGTTCCTACAACTGATGTAAAGCAATCCCAGAAATACAAATAAAAATGACTAACCCTGTCCAGGTCTCTCAGTCACTTCTTCAGCTGTACGAAACTTGGTAACCGTAGTGTACAGCGTGGAACGGTCAAGTGGCCAACCATTTTTCCTGCAGGTGGCTTGTACAAGAGCAGTCAGGTAGGATTCTGGGATATGTAGACCTGACAACCACATGACATTTGGCTCTCCTTCAGTAACCTGACAAAAAGAGTAAGCACCAATGGAAACGGTTTACATATATGAAAATGGCTTATAAATAAAAACAACAGAACTGAACTTAAAGCAGAATTCCAGGATGTGCAAAAATGAACCCTTGCAGTGGGGCTACCCCTGCACTCCAAGGGTTAACTGCTCATTTTGGTCTCGGGGCCTGGAAGAAAGAAAATATACTCACCCTATCACCGATCCTGTGGCAGTAGGCACTCGCCTCTCTCCCCCACAGCTCTGGCTGTAGTATGCCCCTAGGTGTGCTCACATCTAATGCAAGTGAATGGACCTGGCCTTAGATGAGATGACGTCACAGGCCCTTAGACCGCTGTAGCCCGGGGAAGAAGAAGCTGTGGAGACCGGTCTAACAGCCAGGTGGGATCGAGGATCAGATAAGTATATCTTCTTTAATTCATCCCCTAGACCAAAGTGTGGTGGTAATCCCACTGCAAGGGTTCATTTTTGCACATTCTTGGATGGGAAGGGGGTTTAACACCGCGGATGTCAACTGGTTAAAAAGAAAACTTCTGGTTTAAACCATGTGGAACAGGCTTTACATATTGTCAAAATATTGTATTGTCTGGTCTTAACTTCACTATTGTAAACCATCAAACACTTTGCATTTAATCTTGCAAAGGAGCCCTAGTGCTTGTCTATAAAACTATCCAGACTGGGACACATTGAAGCTGCACCGTTAAAATAAATAAAATCTTTCCTTCATAAGCTGCATATCATACCCATGATGTGTACTGATTATAGCGTCTTCTGAAGTGAATCATCCAGTTTCCCAAAGACTTCAATGTATCAGGGGCCAGTTTTCTCCATATGTTTGGAATCTGACCATTAAAGAGTGCTCGAGCTACTTCATCTAACTCATTGCTCATTCCAACTTCCCCAGCCAAAGCCTATGGATATAACAAAACATTGTAATTACATCTCAATATTCCTTCTAAAATGATTATTATTCTACAGGATTATGGGTGTAAAGAGAATGCATTTCATTTTTTCAGAATTTTAGATCAAGTGATCTTTGACTGTCCACAGAGTATTCAAAACTAAATGAATGCAGTTATATAGTGAGAAACTACAATGGGAACACAATTTGTGTGATAGTTATTTTTATAATACTGACAAAATCAAGAAGGCTCAGAATGACTTAGAACTCTAGTATAGCTGGAACTGTAACAAAATGAGTTAGACATCTAGTATAGCTGGAACTGTAACAGAATGACTTAGTAATATAGTATAGCTGGAAGTGTAACAGAATGACTTAGACATCTAGTATACCTGGAACTGTAACAGAATGACTTAGAAATCTAGTATAGCTGGAAGTGTAACAGAATGACTTAGACATCTAGTATAGCTGGAACTGTAACAGAATGACTTAGACATCTAGTATAGCTGGAACTGTAACAGAATGACTTAGACATCTAGTATAGCTGGAACTGTAACAGAATGACTTAAAAATATAGTATAGCTGGAAGTGTAACAGAATCACTTAGACATCTAGTATAGCTGGAACTGTAACAGAATGACTTAGAAATCTAGTATAGCCGGAACTGTAACAGAATGACTTAGAAATATAGTATAGCTGAAGATGTAACAGAATGACTTAGAAATATAGTATAGCTGGAACTGTAACAGAATGCCTTAGAACTCTAGTATAGCTGAAGATGTAACAGGTGAGTGTACAAATCAGAAACAGTAAAAGCAAACAGACTCCAATACCACTACATTACTCACCCTCTGAAGTTCAGCCAGGGACCTGGACATACGTGTTATTAGTTTGTTAAATCTCTCCAGTTCCTGTAGTAACACCACTGTGGTGGGTGAGATGTCCAAGCCAAAAT